CAGTAAAATAGGACTAATGAATGTCATCCTGCAAGAGGACGAACTCAACTATATCCTTATTGTACTGACCGGAGCTGCCACTCACCCTTATCTTATCCACATCTGTTACTAGTTCCCGCCTCCTAGTCTCCTTCTTCGCAGCTTCCATCTTACGCTTCAGCTTTGCCTTTAGAGTCTGAACTGTTTCTGCCTGTTTGCAAAGTTTTTCCTCCTCAGCACGTTGTTCAGCCTCTAAAGGGTCAAGAGGAAGTTGAGGCTTCTCCTCCGAAGCTTCACCCTTCTCTGCACCAAACATCTTGAAATTTCCCACAATTCAGAGAATAAAATAAAAATAAAATTAAACAGAAGACAGAGATGGAAGTAACAGGAATTGGGTTTTCTCTACAATACTCGCCCAATTCTTGTCACCTGACTGGAGAGAGAAATTGGTTAGTATGAGCAAGTGAGTGCTCAGTCTCTGCAGACCGCTCGAGGGTCAGGGTCAGTTTAGAGATAGCTCAGCAAAAATCAATTTCACGATTCTCCATTCACTGCCCTGACACAACAATTGCATGCAATTACTACAAATCCTGTATTAATTCATTGCAGGATGCAGTCCTGGACTGATTAGTAGTGATTAGCAATTAGACAAAGTGATGAATTAGGGATAAAAAGGTATCTGTTGTTGACCACGATGAAGCGATTTACTGGGTAACCTATTTTTAGACCTAACCCTACTGACGTCAACATTGGATGACCCTGTATGTCATACCCAAGTACAGATTACCCTGTAATTGACTCGAAACATAAAATCTGATTGTGCGATTTCAAACACTGACTGTATGCTGAATTGCGATTTACCAAAGACTGACATAATTGAATTCGGACGGACAGAACCAAAGTTATGACTGACCCTAGTCTAGCCAAGCTTCAGCTATGGCAGTGCAGAATTCAAATTTCCAATATTACTGGCAACAGGGCCCTGAACAATCCATTTCACAGTACAGGATGAATCGCAACATTGTAAAGCAGTCACAGATGGAAGTTGAGTCAGAAAGAGGGTCAAACAGTGTTAGTAGAAGTCGAAGAAGATAGGTAGGGGAAGTTGGATATGGTTGTCCCACAGTCTGAATTTCAATTTTCAACTGTCTACTTCCTAATAGACCAAATTTCGCTATTCTAAAAATAGCCCTAGGGTAGCCATACAGAGTAGAGTATGAAACACACTTACTTCAAGAATAACTTTGGGCCTATGGTTGTCTGCTCAGACCCATCTCGCTAGTTTCATCTCCTGTTTGTTCCCAGTGTTCCCATGTATCAAACTCTTTGAAACTTGGTGATATTGCAGACCCCCCTGTGGCGCTTCAACCCCAACTGACAGACTCGGTGTATCTGGACCCCCAGATGCCAAAAACTGAGATACTCAGTGCATCGTTGCTCCAATCTGCGCTGCGCTGCTTGGAAATTGGGGATCCTGACCCAATTCCAAAATCACAACACCCTAAGGTCACTTCCCTACCAATCGCCAGTTCCAGATGAATCGCAAGTCTAAAAATAGCCTCCTCAGAGCCTCCAAGGCCTCTGAGCATCAATCTCCACTCACTCCTGCACAACCCTAAGCAGGAGTGTGTCACCCTCTATCCAATACTTCTCGCCACACACTCACCACCACCACCCTTACTGTCGCCAGCCCTGAAGATGACAAATTGCCATGAACTTCAACTCCAAAATCTCACCAGATGATGATGGTTGCTCCAACTCATCAATCACTTCAGTGCCTGGATCCAATCGCTTTAATACCAATTGTTATGAACCTGGTAGTTTGTTGTCAGATGACCAACACTCACACATACACTTCCAAGTGTGCCCATACACACACAGAAGGAAGGGGAGAGGATGGGAGTATCACACCGCACAGAGAGAGATAAACACAGTGGAAGACTTGACCATGCGATATGACAGAGAACACTGAAAGTGCACTTCGCTCCACAGAGTCCTCACAACCAATCACAAAGGAAACTCAAGTAGATCACATCCAGGAATGAAGCAATGATAGTCCACACATAGTATACACACTGTTTATTAAACTCAGAGTCTCAAACTGCCAGAAGAACCCAGAACCATGGTGAGCTGCTCAGAAATGAGCAGCGCTTCACCCTCCAACCCTAAGTAACCTCTAAAACTACCCCTGAGTTCCTGAAACATCAAGCACCACCCAGATACTGCCTCCAGAGGGAAGTGCCACCCTGAAACAGGCCTCTGAGGCAAAGCGCCACTCAGAGGATGAAGAAGAAGACTAGCGCCACAGTGTCTGATGATGATGAAGTGCCAGATGACTTCCCGGGTGGAGGTCTGCAGCAGCGCCACCTCTCCTAACAAAGATACTCTCTGAGGACGAAAGTTGCAGCTATGGCTGCAGCGCCACCCTACTCTTGAGGAGGGTCCAGCAGGGCACCAACTTCTCTCGCCTCCAACAGACTTCGAATAGCCTAGACCTCTGAACAGCCCCGCGTGTTGTCAAAGTACAGCGTCGGTCCCAGCTGTGGCAGACACTCCGAAGGTCCAGCTATGACTGTCCTCCTCAACGCAGAAACTGTCACCACTTCCAGTTCACGTGTTGTACAGTAGCAGCGATGTACACGGTACCAACTGCCAAAAGCCTTCAACCGATGTCCTCCTTTTATCTATAACCTACACTAGCCTAGACACGACAGACTGACTGGACCTACCGGTACCGTTTCCATTTCGGCCTCTCCGCCTCTACCTCCTAGGCTATAGGCTATAGGACCGTCTATCAGCATAGACCGTTAGGGCCTGTCTGTCCTAGGGGTAGCCCGGGCCTGCTATTCGCAATTAGGGTAGCTGTAGGTAATTTTAGTTTGCGCGGGCTTGTATTTTCTCGAATTTTACAGATATGTCCCTCAAGAATTTTCCTACAGGTAGATCTCTCGGTTAGCCCTCAGCCAAACAAAATTACGAATCTATCCTACCTATGGTACAACCTCGACGAGAGAGGCTACAGGCCACTGAAACCAGCAAGTCATTGCATCTGCCTACTGGAACGAAACCACCATGCACGGAACACTCGGACACAAGTCTTGCATCACATCACACTCACATGAAACACACAGGAAATGTCGAGTCCATAAGAGTCTCAATAGCCAACACATTAACTCAGTTCTTGTCTTCGTCGCCAGCGTCTATGGCCGCCCAGCGCCGCCCAGCTCAACATGCAGGTAAATCTCTCTCTCTTCTTCTTCTCTCAACTCTCTCTCTCTCTCTCTCTCTCTCTCTCTCTCTCTCTCTCTCTCTCTCTCTCTCTCTCTCTCTCTCTCTCTCTCTCTCTCTCTCTCNCTCTCTCTCTCTCTCTCTCTCTCTCTCTCTCTCTCTCTCTCTCTCTCTCTCTCTCTCTCTCTCTCTCTCTCTCTCTCTCTCTCTCGCTCTCTCCCCCCCAGGCTACTCTCACTCTTTGAGTCCTCGCTCGTCTCTCAGAATATCTTGCTCCCTGTAGATCTCTCATACTACAGCTACGGTTATGGCGCCCAGCGCCGTTGGCTACAGTGCCCGACGTTCACTCTCACTTGCTCAATCGTCAGACCCGTCACAAGACCGCAGCAGCACACTTCTTCATTGGCTGCGAAGCGTCATGAGTTGACGTCCTAGTGCTGCCCGACTTTCGTCCTAGCTGATCCGCCTCGACTTTGTACTCACTGATCATGTTACTTATGGGCTGGTTCCCTTGCCTTTGTTTTTTTTTTTTTTTTTTTTTTTTCCACACAACAGGTCCTTGTGGGCCTGCCCCTTGTTTAGGGGGTTTCCTTTGATGTGTGTGTCTCGTTTTTCTGAGTGTTTGAGTTGACTGTTCCCTTAAGGTTGGTATGATTTGAAAAGTTGGTGATCGAGGATTTGAATGCGGTACCGGTTGACTGATGGTTTGTTGATCGGTAGTTTCTGTTGTTTTTGTATAGTGTTTTTTTGTGAGGGATTCGAGCTGTGGTTGGGATTTAAGGCTGATTCAGTATAAAGTCTTCCTAGGCTAGTGTCCATCAAGTGACTTTAGATCCCTGAAGAGTTCTCGTAGGCGGCCAGGCGAAACCGATCAGGTCGTAACGCCGATCCGAAGCTTTTTGTTTCTGACAAGAGTGCTTCATGATTATTTTTTCGTAACTCAGTCGCGTTCGGGACACCTGTCTACTTCTATGGTGTGCTTCTTGCCTTATTTTTCCTCTTCCTCTTCTTCTTCTTCTTCTTCTTCTTCTTCTCTTTTTCTTCTTCTTCTTCGTCTTCTTCGTCGTTGTCGCCGTCCTCCTCTTCTGATACCCTTTTCTTCGGTTTTGTTGTGTATTTGAGGAGAAAGATTACGACCATCATTATTGTGTCCTTGCTATATAAGCGCGGCGTACTTTTGTTCACGGAGTAACCGAGGTGGGAGTGATACTACCGACGAGTGGCTTCGACTTCCAAGTGATGGCGTCAAACAGTATTCCTAATGTGACGGGAGGTCGCTACTATTACAATTGTGGTAAGCCTGGCCATATTTCCAGGTTCTGTCCTCTTCCGGATCGTAGATTGAATGGGGTGCAACCATCTAATGCTATTGTGTCTGCACAACCCTTGTTGACTATGTCGTCTACGTCAAATGTAGGAACTGTTGTTCTGTACTAATCTGGGCAGTATAATAGAGGGGGAGGCAGTAGTGGGTTGGGGAGAAGGGTTAGCTCATTAGAAAACTCTAAGATTGTCAGGAAGATCAATAGTAAGCATGACGCCGACGAGGCGAGAGTACGGGAGCAACACAAAGACGAGGAGAGAAAGAAGTGTGAGAAGGAAGACGAGGAGCATCGACAAAAAGAGAAACAGGAACGTGAAGAATTCCAGAAATAGATGCATAAGGAGATGTCGACTAAACTTGATAAAGTATGTGAAGCTCTGAGTGGAAAGAAGACGGGGGAGTCGGATGAGATCAAGAAGTTGAAGGCACTAGTGGAGTCTATGAGCCGACAGTGTAATGTGGGCAAGACTGGTGAAATTGACGAGTTTCTAAGGCTGCGGGCACAGGTGGAACAGTGAAGCAAGGAAGCGACGGAACTAGTACATCTGCTACGATGACCAGGTCTGCCAGTGAAGCGGAGGAATTGGCTCGTCTTAGGCGTGAGCAAGCAGAGACCAAGGCGTCTACTGATAAGCGGCTGGCAACATTGGGGGAAGTAATTTTCACTCTGAAGAAGCTGTGTGAAGTAGCTGAATCTAACGCGGAGGTTTGGAGGAATGAGGCCTTACGCCCTGGTAACAAACGAAGTAGTGTCACAATCGGGTATACGCCGACCAGTGAAGCACGCGTTCGGCCTAAGGTTACTCTGGCTGCTTCACCCAGCGCTACGAAAAGAGTGAACTTGCAGCTGAAAGGACTAGTGGAGAAGCATCAACGTGAGGTTGATCTACTGAAGGAAATGTGTTTACCGGAAGTCGATGCTCAGAAAGAATCGGAGGATGAGGTTGAGCGATTAAAGGAAGCCATGGTGGGACTAGGGACGAGGAAGCGATCGAAGGGAACCCCCTTGAAGGCGAACTTGGATGACGTGGCAGGACCGTCTTCCGGGAAGGACAAGGATAAGAGGCCAGCCTCTCCAACTGGGCAAGCCAGCCAGAGGGATGTGTTTGTCCGGGAGGCACGTAAACAACTTCAGAACCTGAGGAAAAAGGATGTTATCTCTATCTGTGAGAAGGAGGGAATCGAATATACTAAGTTGGATCCGACAAAGGAGGTAATTGCGCAGCCGCCGACCGACATAGCAGAGTAGGATGAAGATGATGGGGGTAAGATCAAGTTAAGAATGACTCGGTTGTGGAAGTGACTGATGAAGGGGAGGATACCTCATAAAAGAGCAACGGGCGTGACTCCGCTACTTCTTAGGGTCATGCCCAGACGCGACTTTTATGCGGCAAGTGGTAAGGATATGTTGTAGAATTCGTGCGATTTACGAGGAATGGTAATGTTGTAGAGAGGTGAATCTTCTTCTAACTTATCTGTTGCCCAACTCTTTTCAATGTGATTCCATGGCGTGATAAGTTAAGTGAATTCTTTCTTCGAATTGGTTTCTCCTCTGATGATGGCGGTGTTTTTGATGAATGGAAGGGTCCGGTTGTGTATGCTTTGGTGTCTCCGTGGGCTTGCCATGCCTATATTGGTAGCACCCAACGAGATATGCACTCCCCTTGGAGGGAGCATGTTTATCAGGCTTGTCAGAAGAAGGTAATAGAAGGAAGACTAAGAAACGAGAAACTATATCAATGGCTGCGTAGGTGTGGTGCTCACACTCATGACGTCATTCCGCTTTTGTCGCTGTTCGACCGAGGACTTGTTGGATACTAAGAAGTTTTTTATTCAGCTGATGACGCCAGCACTTAACATTTGAGATAAGTCTAAGCGTTCGCGGAAACGTCGAGTGGGCTTGAGAAAGAGTGCACGATGATGGAGTTGTGGATTGCTCGAATACTGACGTTAATCGTGGGTCCTTGTGTCTGTTTCACACGCCGGATGGTACGGTCTCAGTTAGTTTGTTGAAGATTCTTGAGAAGTGTAAAAACAAAGGGGTGCATCATGTAATGGTGAGTTGTGGTGGTGGCAAACGGTTGGTGGATCAGTGGAAGGTATTGAAGACACTTTATGGAGGGAGTTTGGTAGATTGTTGCTTTGGAAAAAAAGAACTGAGGTATGCTCGGGGCTGGTTGAAAGGAGGTGTTATGTGTGTGGTTGATCCTATTGTTCCCTTCTTAAGTCGATCCTTCGCTCTAAAAGGCCCGCTAGCTTCCTTCTCAAGTAATCCTTCTATACGTGGGGAGTTAAAATTGTGGGACTTCGATGTTCTGATCGCTGCCTATACGGTGTACTTTCAGCGAAAAGAGGACAAGGTTCCGATTGAGATGTTTGTTGTCTCATTATTTTTTGTCAAGGTTCGGCGTGCATTTGAGGAAGCGGTTGGTAGTACGTTTGGTCTATGACCATCGAATTTGTAAATCGAATGTGTGGAGATTGTGTGCCAAAGTTGTGGCTGGTTTGAATATTCAGCATAGTTGGAAAGGGATGCTGGTGTGCCGCATACGTATCGTGTGGTGTCGAAACAAAAGCATGTTTGATTCAGAATTTTCGGCTCTTTGCAAAGTCTAGCGTGCCTGTTTGCTCGTGTGCAACCGCGCACGAGTCTCTCCCACGACTCAAAGATTATGTGTCATGTCGAATTAATGAGGTGCCGTCTTTGTTCCCGTCGTGGTTTTGTAATTCGAAGAACTTGGTACGTTTGTCCAGAATTCGATCGTTGCCTGATTTGCATACGCAAATTTTGTGTGCCTTTGACTCTAACCCCTTGTTACCCACTCCTAGCTTTGATTCTTTGTCTTTGGATATGATGAAGGGTTGTTTAGTCAATGATGGTGAAGGAACGATTCAAATTCAGATCTCAGTTTCACTGCTTTTGATCGTGGACTAGAGATTGTTACTAGAAAATCATCCGCGAAGCGCATGTAATGCATCCTTCGGTTCCAATGCATGGGATTCAAACGCGAAGGAGGCAAGTTTTCCGAGAGGGTAATCTGTGAGGATGACGTTGCTCCTTTTCGTTTGCTGCTTCTAGGTATGGTATGCAGTCCTATCGACCATAATATGGGTGATAACTATGTCTGTTGCCCTCTTTTATACGAGAAGGGCATGCAGAAGTCGTTTTTTGGGACCCCGACCTTCCAGCTTTGTGAAGATGACGAGTGTCAGTTACTTAAGAAATGTGAGAAGACGTATGTTCGGAATGGATTGCAGCATGTCGGGCAATGGAAGAAGGGTAAGCTCAGGAAGAGGTATTGTTCACCTAAGCACAAAGATGTTTTAAGATGGAGGCCAATCTGTCCATCCCATCCGGAGTGTTCAACAGGAGGTGGAAAAATTGTGTCCTGTGCAGTCAATGCTGGCTCATATTAAGGCAGTCAATTTTGGGTTGACTAATGAAGATGCAATTTTGGGTGCCTCCTTTGACATAGGAGATGTTCTCCAATTTACCTCATGACTCCATCTTAAAGGCGCCATCGTGGGTGGTGGACTTTTGGCGGGAGAAAAGTGTTGTTGCGGTTGGGGTTTGTACACAAGGGAAAGGTGCAAAGTTGCTGACATGGAAAGCTAAGATGGGGTGGAAGAGTATTCTGTTGCAGACCATGTTCAATTTCATTTCCTTTTAGCTTGGAGATACTTATGTGCGTGCTGCGGGTCGACTGTTGCATCAAAGGGTTGGTATTCCGATGGGTAAGTCATCGAGCCTGGCGCTAGCTTGTCTACTATATGCCTATAATGAGTTTGTGTTCTTGACCAGCTTGGGGGTGGATCAAAGATTGTTTTGTGGATTTACGTTAGTTGATGATGTTTCAATTTTTGCTATTTGTAGGAAGTATGATAGGTGTCCTTACAAGAAAGGGTTACACCTTATCAATTTGTTCAAGCATTGCTATGATGACAACTTGGTCTTGGAGCAAACCAACGAACGGAATTGGTGGGATTTTCTTGGGTGTGTTCTCAAGGTGTTTGAGGGTAGGAAGGGTGTGCTAATGAAAAATCAGAGGTTCCAGTGCATTCAAGACTATGTGTCATTCACGAGCTGTCAGCAAAAATTGGCGGTAATTAACTCCTTTCTTCACTGTGCTAAAGCATATTCGTCAGTCGACGGAATGGTGTTTCCCTTCCTCCTTTCATTTAAGTGCGAGTTGTGGAGGGGGTATCCGGATGTGTTTTTCGAGTTAGCGGTTACTACTTTCTCGAGGAAATTCGGGGAATTGTGGGGAGATTGGTTGCCGTTCTTGACTGGGTGGGGTCGCATGTTGAGGGAAGTCAGGTTATTTTAGGATACTTGTCCTCAGGTGGCCTTTCTTGAGATATGTCTCATTGTTTCCCTGTGTTTAGGGGGTTTCTTTGGATGGGTGTGTCTCGTTTTTCTAAGTGTTTGAGTTGATTGTTCCCTTAAGGCTGGTATGATGTGAAAAGTTGGTGATTGAGGACTTGAACGCGGTACCGGTTGACTGCTGGTGTGTTGATCTGTAGTTTCTCCTGTTTTTGAATAGTGTTTTTTTACGAGGGATTCGAGTTGTGGTTGGGATTTAAAGAATTGGTTCGCAGCTGATTCAGTGCCGAGTCTGCCAACCGATTGGAGTGTTGTGTCGACGGTCTTTCTACAGGTGGTCTTCTCAAGGATAAAGTCTCCATAGGCTAGTGTCCATCAAGTGACTTTAGACCCCTAAAGACTCCTGGTAGGCGGCCAGGCGAAACCGGTCGGGTCGTAACGCCCATCAGGAGCTTTTTGTTTCCAACAAGAGTGCTTCATGATTATTTTTTCGTAACTAAGTCGCATTCGGGACTTCTATGGTGTGCTTCTTGTCTTCTTATCTTCTTCTTCCTCGCCTTCTTCTTCTTCCTTCTTCTTCTTCGTCGTCTTCTTCTCCTTCTTCTTCGTCCTCTTCTGCTACCCTTTTCTTCGGTTTTGTTGTGCATTTGAGGATCTTCGGTTATATTCTGCATTTGAGGATCTTCGGTTCTGTTTTGCATTTGAGGAGTAAGATTACGACCATCATTATTGTGTCTTTGTTGTATAAGCGCGACATGCATACTGCCCTTTGCCTTTGTTTGTTGCTTTTGGAATTTGTCGATTTTCCTTGACTTTGGCTGCTTGACTAGATTGACTGATACTTGGCCTTTCTTCCTTTTTTTCTTGCTTCTTTTTTTCTTTTCTTTTCTAAAGCCCACTGCAGGTTGTTGTAGAGGTTGGATGCTAGACATATGACAACTACCTTCAGCAGTCAATGATGTGACTGATACTTGGCCTAACGACTTCTGCTATCTTTGCCAAAGCTTGTGTTGTGCCTAGTACCTGGAAATAGACTTTTTCACCCCAGTACCCATTGATGAACACACTGCTCAGCTTCAATCGAGGGGTTATGGGATTGGGGAAAGGAATAGGAAAAAAAAGAAAGGAGAGAAAAACAAGAAAAGAAAAGTGTTATTAACCAGGGACATCCTACTGCCTACTTAAAAGTCTAAACTAACTGACCTAGGCATCTGTAATCATTGTACAAATCAACCTACCCCTCTTAGGCATTTGTGAATATTGTCCACGTGGCTAGGGCCACCAATGGAACAAGGACTGGGACTCGAGACCGGGACTTGGGACTGAATCGCGGTACTGAGATTCGTGAATCCTTTCCTCACTACGGAATAAATACATAATACTAAAAATACTAAGAAAGGTTAAAAAACTTAAAAACTAAAAACTGCCGATTGAAACGGTTAAGGGAAAGGGAGAAAAGGACGAAGAAACGGTGGCTGTGGTAGAGACTCTTCCGTTGGAGGTTCACCGACTCATATACCGCAGTTGCTTGTGACAATTTAATTTTTATTTTATTTGCTTACCTTTAATATATATCGTCACAAATAGAACTGCCCGGTAAACCGTAGGCAGAGAGAGAGAAGAGGACAACAAACGAGGGGCTGTGACAAACTGTTTCGTCGGAGTTTCA